AAACTGCAGCAAGGGAGGTCTAGGTTGGACATTAAGAAAAAGTTCCTAACTGTCAGGTGGTTAAACACTGGAATAAATTGCCTAAGGAGGTTGTGGAATCTCCATCTCTGGAGATATTTAAGAATAGGTTAGATAAATGTCTATCAGGGATGGTCTAGACTGTATTTGGTCCTGCCATGCGGGCAGGGGACTGGACTTGATGACCTCTCGAGGTCCCTTCCAGTCCTAGAATCTATGAATCTATAATAAACATTCTTGTTTTCACTATATCTAAGTGCTGCATGTTCAGTTAAGCTATGTTCTAAGATAAGTAAGCTGCAGCATTTGTTTGGGAACACAGGCCTGGTGTCTCTGAGTGTTCAGTGGATAAGGGGCTAGACACTAAACTGAACACGGGGGACTCTGCTGTTGTGCGTATCTATTGTTAACTTGTATGGAGAGAGAGAGGCTGCGGAGGCCTGGAAGGTAGTTCTTGTATTGACAGAGGCTAGTGTTTTCAGGGAGCTGATCCACAGCAGCCAGAGACACACTAAGAGCAGATGGTGGTGAGGTGCCTCACAACCCTTGGTACCTTTGGGGAATGTCACAGAGCCCCAGACAGAAGATTATTCCCTGCGTGAAGTCAAGCAGTAGGAGAGGATGACAAACAATACTAGTGTCATTTGAATGTGCTTAGTAATAAAGAGATAAAATGTTTTGTCAAAGTTTCTCCCTGTGCCTCAGCAGCTTTTTCAGGTAGTTCTTGGGTTTAGACAAACCTGTACAACAAAGCCAAGGTCATTCATCAAAAAGCAATAACAGAAATTAAGGGGCTGGAGGAAATGGTTTATGGAGAATGATAGAACAATGGTCATGTGGTTAAAGCACTGGACTGGAATTTTGGAGAACGGGTACTTCCCTACCCCACAGACTATAGAACTTCCTACCTCTCGGCCTCACAGGGGTATTTGTAAGGATAAATTCATTAATATTTTAGAGACCCCAGATACTACAGGGGCGGGGAGGCTAATAGATCTAATTATAGTTTGGCCAAACTGACCAGCGTAGTGGTCAATAATATGTGAACTGTTGCCAAGTATTGGGAGGGTGCGAATGGCAAGGATGGAATCATTTAGGGTGGTGCAAGAGTTCAAGCTAAGAAAAATAAGTAAGGAAATATTTCTTGATCATGGTTTTAGTTTTCAAAGTGGGCGAAGCTATTATAAAACATTAGACTGGAGAGAACACTGAAGATTATTCTGTGGGAAACCATTCTGCAATGGCCCACAGGGCATGGTCTAGATCAGTGGCTCTCAACCTTTTCAGACTACTGTATCCCTCTCAGGAGTTTGATTGGTCTTGGGTACGCCCAAGTTTCACCTTACTTAAAAACTACTTGCTTACAAAATCAGACAAAGATATAAAAGTATCACAGCACATTACTGAAAAAAATTGCTTATTTTCTCATTTTTACCATACAAATATAAAATAAATCAATTGGAATATAAATATAATTACATTACAGTATATAGAGCAGCATAAACAGGTCATTGTATGAAATTTTAGTTTGTACTGACTTCACTAGTGCTTTTTATGTAGCCTGTTGTAAAATAAGGCAACTATCTAGATAAGTTGATGTACCCCATGGAAGACCTCTGCGTACCCCTGGTTGAGAACCACTGGACTAGATCATTTAACAGGTCTTCCTTTAGTTTTGGTTTTAGCTGGAGGAGATTCAAGCCTATCTGGACATTATTAAAGCTCAAAGCATCAGGCCCTTGACTGTATTTTGTCAGAAAAGTAAATATGGATGTCTTTGAAAGATGTAGATCAGAGCTAGCTGCCTTTGTGCATGATGGGGAAAATCCAGGGAAGTTAACTGGCCATGCAACATAGGTCTGTTAATTTAGGTTTATTATGGCAACTTTTTAATAGTTTAGAGCTAATGGAATGGA